CCCAGGTACCTGTGAACAGTTGCATCAGGTGGAAGGTGTGAGGAGAGGGATACAAGTTACACTTGAAAGAAATGCAATCAAAATAATAATGAATAACATCCACTTCCTTACAGTTAATAACATCCACTTCCTTACTTACAGTACACGTAAACTTTGTAAAAGTACTAGATTGTACATACCAGTCATTACACAGGAAATATGCCCCAATATTTGCCCTGGCAGAGAAATCAAACCTGGGATCTTTTAGTAGTGACCCTATTGAGTTACAGGGTCTGATTAAATTCAATAAAAAATACAAAAGTAATAGAGAGTGTGTGTGTGTGTGTGTGTGTGTGTGTGTGTGTGTGTGTGTGTGTGGAGAAGTTGCCAGTGGAATACTGGTACTGTGCCAGGGAATTGGAAAAAAAGAGAGCAGTGATTTTTGCTACTGTAAAAATAGAGAACAAAGAAAGGAAGAATTATAGAGACACTAGTTCATTAAGGTAATAGGCAAAGTGTACAACAGGAAAGTGTTTGAAATAGTACAGGATATCATTTAGAAAATGGCCAGTGATGAACAAGATGGGTTCTGCAGTGAAAGTGTGCACTTCAATCTGATAGAGTATTGGTATTGAAACGGTTTATAGAGAAGGCATGCGAGAAAGTTTTTATAGGTGAATAATATATAATAAAATTAATAAAGTATGACTAGAGAGTCATGAGCATGTATGTAGTTAGCAGAGTTCTATTACATGATGTGAAACATTTTTATGTAAGAAGTAATGCATGTGCAATAGTTAATGATACCAGTTACTGATATTATTGGTTTGATATTAATGGAGGTGCCCACTAAAGTTGTGTAACATCATTGTGATTGTTTATTATACTGTATATTGTACATGGATGAGGTGAAACCGGTCACGATAACAATATTGGAGAAAGATATAAATATTGTACTGTATATAGGAATAAAATGAGTAAGGTAAGGTAATTATCAGGAGAAAGGGCCAGGCCATTACGACTATATAGCACTTGGAAGGGATCAGGATAAGGATTTGGGATGGGATTGTAGGGAAGGAAGGATGCCCAACTACTGATGGTCGGGGATTGAATGCCGACCTGCATGAAGCGAGACCGTCACTCTACCGTCACTCTACCGTCCACCCTACCGTCCACCCCAATTGGTTGGAGTATGTTAAATTTGATATAGGGTATGCAAATGATAGTTCTTTAGTAGAGTGAGAATGAAATTTATGAAAGGCTAGTCAAGGAAAATTTTTAGTGAGAAAAACACAGTGGTGAAGTACTAAAAGTTGTTTGTCAGTTTAAATACCTGGAATAGATGTCTGATAAAATCAATAATCACAACAGTAGAAGTGAGCAATTGATAAGTCTGTGATGTTGGGGGAGGGATAGTGTAAGGCATAAAAATCTTGCGAAGTGAGATTTAGTGCAAAAGCCTATAAAGTGCAAGATTGAGAATAGTGTGCCAAGAAGGTTGGAGGATGTTAAGTGAATATAGCAATAAGGGTGACGTCCAGGAAAAAGATGAATGGACATAGTGAGTGTGAGAAAGTAGGGATGATTGTGATCATGGCACAAGATATGGTAAGGAACAAGGCTTAAAGTGATTAATAGGGAGGGAATGAATACGTTTGCATTGTGCATGGTAATAATAAAAAGGTGCATGTGTATGTTCCCATAGTAATGTAAGCTGAAGACTGTGACTAAATGATGCTAAACGTATAGAAACTGTGTGTGCCTTTTCTGGGCTACCTTCACAGATAATATGTCTCTATGATAATATATATGTAAATATCTCTGATGAACCACCTTCTTAGCAAGACAATTTTATATTAATATACAATAGTTTTTTACTTTTATACTATACTCATTACTGTAGCAAAATAATTACATAATTATTATTTGTATAATGCGGTAATAGCATGAAGTACATGTACTGTATGTGAATTTTAAGCTGTCAAGAGCACACACATTTGTCGGAAGATGTAAATACTCTGTACAATACTTGATAGATCTTAGTAACAGAATACTTTAACCTTCATCAGTCACTGTTGTCAGTATATTTCTTCTAGGAGGAATTTTTCAGTTCTGTACAGTAGTTCATTTTGATAAGTATTTCTCAATAAAAAGGAATGTAATGCATCACCTGTGTTGGCAAAGATTATATAAGAATGCATTAATTTCTGTTCATTATATGATAAAAGTTTTATTTCATTTTGAAAGCATTATGGCATCAGTGTGTTTAAAGGTACGTAATTTTAAAAGTTGATGACTATGGACTAATTTTTATTTTGTTTTTATTTATTATTTCTATTATACAATGCTGAATTTTGGTTGTTACTTTTAATTCCTTGCGAAGCATACAGTTGTAACTTATTTGGTAATGCTGTAAATTTCATCTGGTGTCCAGGCAAGGTGGGAGACATCACTCAATATGATGTGGATAACCTGTCACATTATGACCTGCGACTAAGCTACCCTCTCTCATCTTGGCCTTATTGCTCAAGTACAGCTGGTTGAGATATTATAAAATGACCCCATTGTTCAGTTTTATTTGTATGGTAATACTTTCTTCTTAAGTTTTTAAAATATCATAATTTTTATCATAGTTTTTATACATTATTACTAAGCTTTATTGTATTTGTTTTGTGTGTATAACTGTTAATTATAAGAAGTAAATTACTAATTCATAATTCATTGTGTTTGGGGACAGGCAGCCAATGCATATACAGTATACATGTTAGACTTATATCAATGTTCCCACCTCTCCCCAAGGTAGAATTACTGACCCTCCCCAAAATGCAACCCCACAACAAGCTGACTAACACCTGGGTACCTGTTTACTGATAAGTGAACAGACATATTAGGCCAAAGGAAACGCACCCAAATATATCTCTGTCCAGCCCGGAATTCGAACCCAGAATTCCCGATTATGAGTCGAGAACAAACCTGACTGTATTTTAGATAGTTTGAATATCTCGGCCACGGTGTGAGAATTTGATCAGGCTCCCTGGTCATACTACAGCACACGAGATCATTCCTGCATGTTTGCATTTCACTCTCACATCCCTATTCCCTCTTTTTAGGAATCTTTGGCCTTCCCCTACATCCATTTCCATTTAGTCAAGTACCGGTAGGGGTATAATTTATATAATATAAATTATACATTTCTGCTGGCGTAGTGTGTAAGTTATGCCCTAGTTTCTTGTTATCTATTGTGTAAATATAATTCATTTTACTTTTCTTGCATAAATCCATTTTCATTTAAAAATATTTGCATTTTAAGTGATGTTAAAAAAAGTGGCCATTGTGTTGTCATACATGTGTTTCTTTTGTTATACTGTAGCTTATTAGTAAAGGGAGCTACTGGAGTAAGTTTTTCCATAACATTTTGAAGTATTGCTATCTAAGGTCATTTATGAATATTGTTATTACTCTATTACATATAATAATGTGCATGTAGCATACTTAATAGTTTTTGAACCAAGATGAATTTCAGTTTGAAAGATTGCATACATCTTTGAGAACATGTGGAAACTTCCATCAATCGGTTTTACTGCCTTTATTGTTGGGATTGCAACAAGTCTTTAGACTTGATCATTTTCAGACTTTATACCTTGTTATACACAACTTTCGATTATAATGTCGTCATTTATATGCGCTATGATAAAATTTATGCCATAATGTGATATGTAGTGATAATTAGCAAGGTCTGAATTATGGATAATATTTCTATCAATATCCTGTGATAAATTAAATATATCTTAAGTTTTCTATTTATAATCATAAACAGGAAATATACTGTATTGACAAATTTTGAACTGTAAAATGAGTAAAATAAATAGAAATATATATTTTTAATTACTTTCACCTTTGAGTACAAAGTAGTAAATTATAGTTACAGCTTTAGAAGAAGCTGAAGAAAAACCTGACTAGAAGAAGATTAATAAATGAGTGAAGGAGTAAAGGTGTCGGAGTTTCTATATTATGAGAACCCTGTACTAAGGTATGTCCAATAGGTATAGCTTCTAGTTTTCACACAATGCTTGCTTGCTCTCTGTGTGATGTCTGGAGAACACTTTTGTGGCTGATTCTTAAAACCATTTTATTCGTATGTTGGCATGGGAAGATCTAAACACACTAACACAATTAACTGCACCAGAATGTCTGCACACATGCAATTCTGTTGAAGTTGAGCTCAAGAATATAGTAGTAGTAACAATATAGTAGTTCCATAACAACCATAATTTTGAATTGCTGTGCAATATCTTGAGAAAGTTCATTATATTGACTTGAAACTTACAACATTTATGATAAAAACTTAAGTTTTGTATCCTTATTGGACAGTGTAGTCTAGCAGTAGCAGTGTCGTTGTATTATTCAACAGATAACACTGATGGATAACATCCATGATGGATGTTATCCACTGATGGATAACAACAGATAACATTCTATGAACAGTGAATCATTCCACTTTCACGTAGCTTTCTTGGATAATGTCAAATCTAATCCCCCATTGATGGAGAATCGAGTCCCCATAGTCTACTAACACTAAGAATCAAATTTTAGTTTGAGAATGCCTTGTAGTTCTTTCTCTAGAATAATGTTGACACACTGGAGCAAGGCTGACAACCCAGTGATGGGAGATACCTGTATACTCTCCTGGAGTCAGTGTGGTGTGCACTTCTTCATTTGAGATACAGTGAACATCGGCAGCTGCTCCAACATATATTTTCTAACAACTGATAGCTTGCAGAACGACCACCATAGGTGTTGATGCTGTTGCATGCAGATTGATGAAAATTAAGTCACCCAAGAGGTGGCACGGGCATGAATAGCCCGTGCCACCTCAGAAATATATATATATATATAGTTTATATATAATATATATATAGTTGCAGAAATATATATATATAGTTTATATATAATATATATATAGTTGCAGAAATATATATATATATACCCTCACAACCACCTCACTAACCCCCACCAATTCCAAACTCATCATAACATTCTGAACCCCCCTTCCCTAACCCTAGTTACCTTCTCCAAGATTCCCATCCTACCAAATATTTAAACCCAGAAAGCTACCCACCCAGCAACCTCAGTCCCAAACAATCAACCCTGACTTAAAATAACATTCACCCACATGCTCACTTTGACCCCCACCCAGCATCACCCACACACCCACTCTCACCCATTATACCTGTGTGCCACGCTCATCATATCCCACCCACATTCACATATATATGTTAATAACAGGCAATACATATCCTGCGACAACACAGTTTATTGTGCACCCCATACTCATCCTGTGAGCGGTAGTTTAATGTGCACCCCATACTCATTCTCTGTGTGGTAGTTTATTGTTCGCCCCATACTCATGAGCAGTAGTTTATTGTGCACCCCATACTCATGAGCAATAGTATATTGTGCATCCCATACTCATCTTGTGAGCGGTAGTTTATTGTGCACTCCATACTCATCCTGTGAGCGGTAGTTTATTGTGCATCCCATACTCATCCTGTGAGCGGTAGTTTATTGTGCACTCCATACTCATCTTGAGCGGTAGTTTATTGTGCACTCCATACTCATCTTGAGCGGTAGTTTAATGTGCACTATCACACAGTTTATAGCCACACTGACTTGACAATTCTCATTTCATAATTACTCGTACCTTTATAATTTTTAGAATGTTCTCACGTCTTCTTCCTCAGTATCCGACAATTGTATATGAACTTGATTTTAATGCTTTAGACTTTTTACGACCACTTAATATTATTGGACAAATCCTTTCTGACTAGCTCTAATTTCTCTCGCTAGCTTAAATGATCGTCCACAAGTTTGCTCGCTGTTCCGGTGTCCCACACAGAGAAGCCGTTGGACTCTGCAGGAAAACAGTTAACAGGAAAGAGATAATATTAATGTGAAATCTCCGTTGATTCAGGTAAAACAAATTTAACAAAACTGGGAGAGGCTGTGAGGAAAATGAGATGCTATATTATAACCTTGTGCTGGAGAGTATATATACACTACCCCCGCACCACAACTACTGTCAGTTTCTTCATCTGTCTGAGTGTCAGACGTAAGTTGTATGGTGAGAGGTGATAGCCCTGGTGAGAATGGTGAGTGGTGATGGTGATGGTAACACCTGCAGCAGTAGTATGCCAAGAATAATGACTACTTGTTTGTTTCATTTCACTCGTGGTGCTCAACCACTTGGGCTGGACGGTAGAGCGACGGTCTTGTTTCATGCAGGTCGGCGTTCAATCCCCGACCGTCCAAGTGGTTGGGCACCATTCCAATTATAGGTGATACTAGTACAGATGGTGTAATTGTTGTAGTACTGCATGATTACTGCTGCCAGCATCAGTAATGATACCCAACTATCAGGCAGGACAGAAACAGGTGGGCACACTTTGTCATCTGATGCCTCTATTCACTTAACAGTTAATATGTGGCCGAGTTAAGAAATTATCGGTGTTTCTACCACCTTGCAAGTTTACATTCACGTCCTCGTTCACATAACTCAATAATATCAGTTACTAATGTAGCATCAATTAAGCTTGCTCCCGGGGTAAACTCCTTTGTGCCTCCATCGCCGCTACACGGTATTAATGTTCACATGATTGTACAGATGCGAGGCTGGGCGCTGGTGGTGGTGTGTCTGGCGGTGGCGTCGGCGGCTGTGGAGGTGACGCCCCAGGAGGAGGTGACGCCACAGCAGGAGGTGACGCCGCAGGAGGAGGTGACGCCCCAGGAGGTAACGCCGCAGGAGGAGGCGACGCCGCAGGAGCTGTCGAAGCCTGAGGGGGCTGCCATTGACACCGATGCCAGACTCTCCCCAGAAATCAGTGATCGTGAACGCTTCTTCGGAGTGGCGTCGACCAGGACCTACACCAGTGTGGTGATGGTGACGTCTACAGTGTTCTTCTCCTGCCTCTCCGGCACCTCCAAGGCGGTCTGTCAAGGGCGGCGCAAGAAGAAGAGCATGCAAAGGTTCTTGGACTTAACCTCTGCTGACGAAGGGTAGGTGTATAAACATGTTTCCAAAATAATAAATAAAAGGAAGGGGATATAAAGCAATGAGAAGGCGAGTAGATTGAAAAGAAAGTTTGAGCAGAGATGCAAAAAAATGAGTACAGATACAGAAAGAGAACAACGAAAGATTCTCATAAAAAAGTGTTACATTTAATGTTTCGTTGGGATTTAAGAGTGATCTATTAACAGTGATTACCTAACAGTCACGGGACCCGTCTCTTACCTTACTGGTAAGAGACGCAGTTTTGTTTTAACTTTCCTGAAGTTCAAGTTCTGTGACGTATTTACTCTAGCTCTTGTGAATGGAGAGGCTTCCATAAATTTTTAATTCTTGCAGAGTACGAGTATTTTCTTCGATTTATTTGGCTTTCATCTTCTACCTGTGTCTTCTTGTCCTAATTGCCCTAAATTTAAAGAGGCTGTCCTTGGCCACCATATTTGTCTTCAGTAATTTGTATGTAGCGATCATATTCCCTCTTCTTCTCTCCTCTAAGGTTGAGAGATTCTTGTTTTCGCATCTTGCGCGAATCATGTGCTAGCATTATTAGCACATTACTTTAGGTAAGCTCGTGGAACAGGAGGAGGCAATTATGGGACTTGCTCCCCTCACAAGGATAGATACACGACATTGCTTAACATCGGATATTCAGTATGGAAATGTTTATTGAGACTCTTGTAATTTCACAGGGATGCTGAGCTGGACGGCAGCTTGGGCGAGGTAAAGGACAAACCAGATGTGGAAGACACCGCGCCAAAGTCCCCAGATTCACCCGTGTCTAATGATGCCAAGTTCATCACCATATGGACCTCATCACAAACCACCACCACCGTCACCATGCTCTACACCAACACCAGCACCACCATCCGCCTCTCCTACTTCTGCCAGGCGGGACAGGCCCAACTTCCCATCTTCAGATGCGCTGGCGGAGGTTAATATCAGCGTTGATTACTTCAGCGTTGATGTCATCAGCGTTGGTTACTTCAGCGTTGATGACGTCGTCAGCACGCCCAGGCCTTAGGCGGAGTCGACCTCCATGATAACTGTGACACTTGTTTTACTATTTATATTGTACATGATAATGTGAGTCCAAACAGTATAAACTATTAAGTTGATTTGTTTACTTTTATTGAGCTCAACTGAGTTAATGGCTGCTACTGTCTTATATAGAAGTAGAAGGTCGACTCTCATACCAGGAACGGTTGAGAGCCACAGGACTAATAACACTACAAAACAGACATGACAAGGCTGATCTCATCGAGAGGCTTAAAATGGTGTAGAAATTAGAAGACATTAATCCAGACCACCTTTCCTGATAGGACGGTCCCTTCCATCAGAGCCCAGAAACCCTACCATCAAGTATCAGAGACCCTTCCATTAGGGACCAGAGATCCCTTCCATCGGAACCCAGGGACCTTACCATCAAGGACCACGGACCCTGCCATCAGGGGGGCCAGGGTCCCTTCCATGGGGAACCACGGACTGTTCTATCAGGGACTAAGGTCCCTTCCTTTTCTACATATACAAGATGATCCTTGGAGAGACACTCTTATATTCCTACTTTCTTGGCTTTCTATATTTCAATAAGTTTGTTTAACTCTATTCAGAGAAGAATATGTACAGACCTTTGCTATATTGGCACATTGGCTAGGGAATGAGATGATTTTACTAGATTGTTCAACACGATTTTGGTAAAATAAATCCTGCCTTACAAACCTGCTTACATTTGTTGAAACGGTAACCAGTTATTCAGACAAAGGACTTCGGGTAGATGTAGTTCACCTGGGCTTTGCTGAAGCTTTTGACAAGGTACCGCATGAAGGATTGGCTGGGTAATTACATGCACATGGAATATATGGTAACGTGCCAGTATGGATAAAACAATGGTTTAGACAAAGAAAGGAAAGGGTTGTATTAAAGGGAAATGAATCTGACTTGAGAAATGTGGTGAGTGAGGTACCGCTGAGCTCCACGCTAAAGCCAACTATTTTTTTATGTACATAGATTAGAATATTACCAACCACATTATAAAATTTGCAGATGACAGTAAGATCTATGGTAAGTGGGAAGTGAAAATGATAGTGAGGCCTTACAAGGAGCTCTACATGAACTCCTCAAATGTGCGGAAGACTGGCAAATGCTTTTTTAAATTAAAAAATTAAAAAACATAAATCCTTGCATGTGGAGCATAATAACGCAAATCAGAACTATCAAGTCAACAACAACACCTTGCAGTAGATTGATAAAGAAAAGGACCTTAGAGTCAGCATCCCCCACTCATTGAAAGTTGCACAAGTGGGAGTTGCAGTAATAAAATAAACTGACCAAAACTAGGAATAATCAAACGAACCTTAGTCTTCAAGGAAAAAAAAGAGGGAAGTCGCCGAATATGACGTCGCCAGTGACATAAACATCGCCGAATATGACGTCGCCAGTGAGTAGGGCGTCGACGACTGAATCTTCACAACACCGTCTCACCACGACTGCTAACCCGCCTAACCGACGCCGCGTCTGTCGTCCCCTGCCACACAACCGGACGCCGACGCCTAGAATGACACATCCTAAGGGCTCACCATAGCCCGTGCTACTTGGAACTTTTTGTTCCATGTAGCTGAATCTAAAACAACAACTACAAGTCTAGCATGAACAAAATAATATCTGCACAACACGGGAAATTGGTAAACATTAGAACAGCATTTAAAAACATAAATAAGGACTCTTACAGTGCAATCCATACTGTCTATGTAATGTCAACATTAGAACACGCAGAACCGGCATGGAATCCGCTCATTGTGAAGCACAAAACGAAGCCTCAGAAAGTACAGAACTTTGCAACAAGAATAATGCCTAAAATATGAGCATTAGGCTACGAGGAAAAGTTAAGGGAACCCAGTCTCAACCCTAGAGGAGAAAAGGAGCAGAGGGGACATGGTTGGTACATATAAGATACTGAACAAGCAGGACAAGAGGACATTAGTTAAAGCTGGAAACACAAATGAGTCGAAGAAACTTGCACCTTAGTTGGACGGTTAACAAGTAAAATGCACTGAAACCAGCCGTAGAAGCCACCTCCATCCATAACAGTGCTGTGGTAAAGCAGAGTGCCAGGCACCGCGATCGCTTTAACCTGGGTTCGTATCCTGGCCGGGGAGGATTGACTGGGCGCCAATCCTTAGCCTCTGTTCACCCAGCAGCGAATGGGTACCTGGTTCTTGTTAAACGATTTGGCGGGTCGTATTCCAGGGGAAAATTAGGATTGAGGACCTGCCTGAAACGCTATGTAGGCTAGTGGCTGTGCAAGAATGTAAGAACTCTTGTATATATAAATAAACAAAAGCATCAGTAAAGTCGGTGTTAGGTCACAACCTTCCCCATCACCACACTTCAGGCTACTACAAGCATAACCAACCCTAGGAAGCAATACATAAGGCAAAACTAGCAGTAAAACTCTCCGCCAGAGGGCACCATCAACTATAAATAGCATCAGTTCGAGAGGAAAACGGATTATTTCCTCACAACCAATTGGTTATCAGTATAAATACAACACTTGCCGCCACTAAACTCGACCGTCCACCACTGAAGTAGCAGCAGTAAGTGTTCCTGTGTGTTCAACGAGTCACAGTAGAAGGCAGGACAGAAAGGAAGGAGGAGAGGATAGTGAGGGAAGTAGGAAGGAAGAGAAGGATAGTGAGGGAAGTGGGAAGGAAGAGAAGGATAGTGAGGGAAGTAGGAATGGTGATTAGGTGACAGCGGGGATGAGCACAAACTGAGTGAAGACAGACAGTATTTCACGAGAATACATAGCAAATCAAACATTGTACTCTACCACGAGATATAACTCGCTACATTGATGATATTATATAGTAACACTATAATACTAAGTGTTGTAATAATAATAATAATGACAATAATAATAATAATAATGAGAAAATCATTTGGAGTAATGATATATATCAAGTTAGTGTGCTTTTTTGTTTATGTGAATAATAATAATAATAATAGAGAAACTACAATGACGTAGTGTTTGACTGAAGGTGAAAGAAACAACCAATAAATGTGTAAGTTTATTATCAAACCAAAAATGTTGAAAATTGGGTTAAATAATACACTTACACATGTTTTGGGTATTGTTTCACCTTTAATAATTATAAAAATAAACAATGAATAATAATAATTAATAACGCAGCCAGCAGATTTAGGTGAGACTTAGATAGGCCTTATTGACTTTCTGTTTCCGGCAATGGTAAACAAAACCTTTACATCGCTGCTGAGTTAGTAAGAGTTAAATATACTGCAGTTTACCTCCTGTCATTGTTAATGATCTTGTAGCTGGCGGGAATGATTGGATTACACTTACACACACACTACTCAACCACACGACACAACCAAACAACTTCAGGTTTCTAGTTTCCCCTTTATTCACAATGCCATTTGTGAGTAACTACCTACATAATTAACAAAACACTGTTATCATATATTATACTTCATCATATGTTACCTCTCATTATATGTTATCCTTCATCATGTTATCTTCTATCACATGTTATCTTTCGTCACGTTACCCTTCATAACATGCTGTCCTTCGTCATATGTTATCTACCATATATTATCCTTCATCAAGTTGAAGTTCAAGTATGTTCATTGAGACAAGAAAAAAATACATCACAAAGGGATATAGAGTAGCTTAGGCTATTTCTACCCCTCAAATCCTTCTATCGTTCACCATAACATTTATTTATTTATTTATTTATTTATTTATTTATTTATTTATTTATATATATACAAGAAGGTACATTGGGATTGTGAGGATACATAGCATAGTAATTACATTCTTGTAAAGCCACTAGTACGCGCAGTGTTTCGGGCAGGTCCTTAATCTAAGAAAATTTTAAGTAGGTAAATACTTGCAAAATTTATACAAATGATAACAGTTACATAGCAAGAAAACATACAACATGTAACATAAACTTCGCCTTGGATGACCATCAGATGGGAGGAGCATCGTTGGGCTTGTCGATCTTGGCGCTGTGCCTGATGGCGGTTGCGGCTGCGGAGGAGCCGCAGCAGAAGGAGCGACCGCAGCCTGTGGTAGCCGCCGCTGCCACAAACCACGAACTTCCCGCCGAACTCAACGACCGCGAACGCTTCATCTTCGGCCGGTACTCCACGACGACGTACACAGACGTGGTGATGGTGACGTCCACCGTCTACTTCTCCTGCCTCTCCGGCACGTCTCCGGCTGTCTGCCTGGGGCGACGCAAGAAGAAGAACTTGCGAAGATTTATGGAAATCAACAAAAGAGAAGGCAAAGACGAAGATATACCAGAGTGAGTATTATGTGTGGGACGTACAGAAGAGTCTGTTATGTATGGGACGTATAGAAGAGTCTGTTATGTATGGGACGTATAGAAGAGTCAGTGTTATGTGTGGGACGTATAGAAGAGTCAGTGTTATATATGGGACGTATAGAAGAGTCAGTCTTATGTATGGAACGTATATGTATTATGTATGGAATAATTTCTAAAGGAGGGATTTAAGACAGTAGTATTGAAAAGGTAAATAGATAATAGAAAAAGAGATAATTCGGTCCAGTAATAACGTGCTTAGTATTCCAGCAGTACTAGATAGAAAAATAATAAATATTATTTATGCGACAAAACAAAGCAGATTTAGGAAAAGGATAAATATGTAAATAACATTGCAAAGGTGTTTTTTGTTTTATAAATTCTTCAATCTATCCTTTCATCCCACAGCGTCCTTCTGGACAGCAGTCAAGGGGACTCCTCAAAGAAGGAGGAAACTGATCCAGCCTCGCAGGATGCCCCGCCATCAGAGCCAGCCACCGACTCTAAGTTCTTTGTCAACGTTTGGACGACGTCGCGCACCACCACCACAGTCACTATGCTCTACACCGACACCAACACCACCATCCGCCTCTCCTACTTCTGCCAGGCGGGACAGGCCCAGCTTCCCACCTTCAGATGCGTTGGCTAGTGTTGGCACGCCACCAGCGAGAATATGGCGAGGCCTGGCGGGACTTAGCAAAGCTTGGCAAGGCCTGGCAGGACTTAGCAAAGCTTGGCAAGGCCTGGCAGGACTTAGCAAAGCTTGGCAAGGCCTGGCAGGACTTAGCAAAGCTTGGCAAGACGTGGCAGGACTTAGCAAAGCTTGGCAAGGTCTGGCAGGACTTAGCAAAGCTTGGCAAGGCTTGGCAGGAATTAGCAAAGGTTGGCAAGGCCTGGCAAGACCTGGCAAGTGTCTCAGTCTGGTGACGATTGACTTATCGCTGACTTGAAATTTTGTAAATATTGTATACGAGGAAATGAGTCCAAACAAATACAGTTTTAAGAGCTATGCATTTTGCGTTTAATTTTTACGGTAGCCTATCATTGGAGCTCTAAACGTTCTGTAATAAAATAAAATGTTTGTTCTCTGTGCATTTTAACACTGCTGAGAGGAATTCAGTCCAAAAGTCCATTCCATCCACCCACCAACCCCCAGCTGTTTATGAATGAAAAACGGTTTACACACGACTCACAACTGATGACGTCCGAACACTTCCGGAACAAGTGCTTCACTGACGACTTTTGTTCGAACCACAACGCTGTAAATGCTTCACCCACGTACTACAGATACAAATAATCGCCAACAGTACCTAAATACCTAACCTAACCTACTCCTAACTATACATCGAATTTTTATGTATAATAATATTAATTTATATGTGAGAACAAACCCATTTTTAATACACAGTATATTAAAATTGATGAATGTGTCTGGGGAGGACGGCCGCTGCTTTAAACAGCCTAATGTGAGGACGGGTTAAAATAATTACCATCAGAACCTAAACACCTAATCAAACCTCGGCCTGAAAATGTACGAAATCATAATATATAATAATATTAATATTAATACTTATTAATATATAGAAAAAAATTAAACACACGAAAGGTTTTAATTGATGAATGTATGCTTGGGGTCGACGTTGTGTACACGAGAACTGACTTTAGTCACCGCGTGTGAGTGGGTCGTGGCACAAGTGTGTCTCACTCTCCTGGGCGGACGGTAACACGTGTGCCAGTGACGATCATCAACAACTTCAGTCCCGTCAGTATAATTAAGATCAAACATGGAGGTATGAAGGATAGAGCAGAGGCACATCACATTCTTCGTACTATAAAAATGGACAAATATAAAATGATACTTGGAGTAATAAAGTACTTGGTAAGACTGGCAGATTATTTATTTTCGTGTAATTCGTATACTGTAGACGTCAGGGCACAGGTTTACACGTAATTCTTATACTATAGACCTCGGGTTTACGCGTAATTCGTATACTGTAGCCGTCGGGACACGGGTTTACACGTAATTGGTATACTGTAGACGTCGTCGTATGGGTTGTCAACGTTTCAGATGACGTGTCATACAACTTAGCAGCAGCAGAGTATTACCTGTTTTTATTTACTCGTCATTCACGAGGTATTTTGTAAACACAAGTGATTGTTTACGGTCAGCTGTCGGGAATGTATAACGTCAAGCATCATTGTCAAGGTCTCTCTTTATTCCACCTGCTTCATTTAATGGGTATACTGTAGACTGTAGAGGAAGACTTCACAAACAGGGTGGGGTGGGGAGAATTGGGACCAAGGAAGCAAAAATATGCTTAATATTATATAAATATTACTTGAAAAACGTGAGGTAAAGTCTTAGAATTCGGGGTCATTTTTCTTCATTTTAGATAATTGCAAATAGCAATGTTATTTTATTGAAAGTTTACATAAGATTGGCTGATTTTTTTTGTATAGTTAATTTCTTGAAAAATTAATTAAAACATATACGTATAGGAATATGGCCACAATGTATTCCTTTGAAAAATTATACGTAATATAATATTTAAAAATAATCATTGCAAATTAATATGATATGAGCTGTATGCATGTATGTGTTTAGCCTATTCTATTCAAATTCAAATAAGTTTATTGAGATACACACAAAGGAATGAGGTAGCTTAAACTATTCTCACCCTTTGTGTTTAGCCTTTGAACAGCACTGACCAGAGGGCGGGGCCCATCGAATTGTTTTGCCCCAGAGCCAAAAAAGTTAGGTCCGGTCCTGATATCAAGTCGTTACCATCATGGAGGAATTCGTAATTACTTTAGAGCTGGAAACACCGGGATATGTACACAGAGAGGAACACTCCATTTCTAGGTGTATATATATTCTGAGATTGACTGTTGCAGCGTTTCTGCAACAGTCAGTATCCTGTAACTCACCACAGACATAAGAAAATCCTCGCTAAACCCATTTCCACAAACAATAACTGGAGGAAGCTTACAGTTGCGTACAGTAAGAATAGTTATTAAAGTAGATCGATGGCTAGTATTTAAAAAACTATAACTGAATTTGCCTGAATTTTCCTGAGGGCCACTAACATTCTAGTGGCCTCGATGAGGACAGGAAACCGGCGGCTTGTCAAAAGTCATGCACCCGTCCCCAACTGTCCTGATGATTTTTTCCTAACTGTATTCTGAAATTCAGAAGTGTTTTGGCATTTAAGGGTTTGGCGGGCAGTAATAGATTTTCTTTTATCACTACTACTATTTCTTGTTGGTTTGACTGCGTGTTCTGTCGATTGTTGCATAATTCGCCTCCAGTACATCTGTTGAAATGTATAATTTCAATGAGGCTTTTCCGAGGAATATGTTCAAAACTGTGGGGCACAAGTTATAATTAAAACTGTGGTTGTTTATACAATTGTACATTTATATGCATATATATTTTGGAGATTGTGTTATTGACCTTAAAGTAGCGGTAACTATTTAAGAAAGTTAACGTCATTTTGGGTTAAGTAAGAACTGCAGGCCAGAGGAGCCTAATGTGTATACAATCGTTGCTTTTCGCTCTTCAGTGCTCATGAGAATTGAGTAATTTATTTGCTTAGAGTTCACATAGTAACTGTTTGACAAGTTATTTTAAATCATATGACGAGAAATAATAAGTTTAAGTAATTATGTTTCAAGTGAATTAACAATTAATTCCAGTTTAGGCTTGTGCCAGGCGGTGTTGCCACGGTGCAGTGACTAGGTCGTTCCCAGGACCTAGATTCACGAAGCTCCATGTATTTCTTCGTAAGTAGGTTTGCTACGAAGGTTTTTTTCTTCTTAGTGTAGCTACCTGAATACCGACGTAGCCGCCACGAAGGCGTTAAGAAGGAAAACATTCGTAGCTAAGAAGAAAAACATTCGTGAGTACCTTCGTGAATCTGGCCTCAGGGCAGCTGTGGGGAACTTGCATTCTGTGGCAAGAAGAGGCCACAGGAGACTCCAGGCTGCATTCCTTTCCTCACTAGGAGGGAGATGGAGGGATAAATTTCGCTTCTAGAAATAAATCCCAGTGTCCTATTTGTCTTATTGAGTATAGTTATGTATTTGACTGTTTGGCTTAAGATCACTTCTATTATCCTAGATCCTTCTCGCATTCAAATTTCACAAATTCGACATTGTCCAGCTAATAACTGGGAATCCTAGATGAAGATAAAATAAAAAAGATAAAATAATGAGTATTCTATATTGAACTTTGTTTTTCAAGATGAAAATGAATGACTTTTATGATTATCGATTTCAGCAATTTTCCCGCAGTAGACGTTAAACTATAATTGGGTGGAAATTCGACACCGTTCGTAATAATTTCATAATTATATTTATGATATCGTACGCTATTTGTATAAATTCCTGAAGCAATGGGATCGAGTTTATAGACTCAAATAAAACAAGTGGTCTACATAAGCACATACTTTATTTAGGTTTGGATTCTCTTCCTCATGTACAGTATTTACAAAAAAATCAAATTGGGTAGATCATTGGTCACCAGGTTGAAGCATTTTAGACCTCACACGAGTAATGGCGGATGTCATTTGGTGAGACCGTTGTTGGCGAGGCTATCTCAAACGTTGAGATGGTGAGGCTATCTCAAACATTGAGATGGTGAGGCTATCTCAAACGTTGAGATGGTGAGGCTATCTCAAACATTGAGATGGCGAGGCTATCTCAAACATTGAGATGGCGAGGCTATCTCAAACATTGAGATGGCGAGGCTATCTCAAACATTGAGATGGCGAGGCTATCTCAAACATTGAGATGGCGAGGCTATCTCAAACATTGAGATGGCGAGGCTATCTCAAACATTGAGATGACGAGGCTATCTCAAGCTTTGAGATGGTGAGGCTATCTCAAACATTGAGATGGCGAGGCTATCTCAAACATTGAGATGGTGAGGCTATCTAAAACATCTCAAACATCTGTGACGTTGATCTAAATCATCCAAAGAATTGTCAGACCACCTCCCCTCACCGGCAGGTCTTGACAAGTCTCCGCCATTTTTGTTTTTACCTCATCAGGCGCAATTGAAGATGGGAATCTGAATCTGTCCCGCCTGACAGAAGTAGGAGAGGCGGATGGTGGTGCTGGTGTTGGTGTAGAGCATGGTGACGGTGGTGGTGGTGCGAGATATGGTCCACACGTTAATACCCAAAAATTTCGAACTTGGATTATGTGAGGAAGGTTCCGTAAGCTCTTTATTTGCACCGTCTGGATCTTCAGTATAGTCCTGAATACTGCTAAGCAGCGCACTGTTAAAACACGAAGAAAATTTAAAATTAGTTATGAGTGTCAGTAGCATAAGTGTAAAGTGGCCGGTGGAGAGACGCTTGGATCTAGGGAAGATACCAGAAGCACTTAAATCAGCAGACACAACTCTCCTACACAAGAGAGGGAGCAAAGCACTGGCTAAAAATTATAGACCTTCGCACTAACATCACACACAATTCATAAAAGTTTTTGAAAAAAAAATGGAGTCAGATTTCCAGATTTATGGAGAACAATGACCATACTCCTCAGGTCAACATGGATTTAGAGCGGGAAGATCATGTCTTTCGCCGTTACTCAACCACTGTGACAAAATGTTGACCAAACCACAAAGGAAATTGAAGAGACGACGACGTTTCGATCCGTCCTGGACCATTATAAAATCGATTGTGACAAAATTGTCACAATTATCGATTATGACAAAATCACTTCTGCATTTGAAGAATGCAGATGTGGTATACACAGACTTTGTAAAGGTATTTGATAAATATGACTAGGAAGTGAATAAACAAATGAACAAATCCACAAGGGCCGTGGCGAGGGTTCGAACCTACGTCCGAGAGCATCCCAGACGCTGCCTTAAGTCTATCAAGTTAAGCCTGTCCCTATTAGGTCCGGGTTTGAGGAGTAGAACAACTCCCAAAACCCTCTTCAGGTACAAACCCAATGATTTATAGAATTTAAGAAGGTAACGACTGGCCCGTAAATAGGAAAAATGTGTTAAACAAACCACACACTAAGAAAGTGAAGGGACGACGACGTTTCGGTCCGTCCTGGACCATTCTCAAGTCACAATCGACTTGAGAATGGTCCAGGACGGACCGAAACGTCCTCGTCTCTTCACTTTCTAGTGTGTGGTCTGGTCAACACTTCTCATATGTCAACCTCATGGCCCTCAAATACTCACTCGTCTTCGGAATCCAGTGCCAGTTGACGACGGTTGATATTCAAGAAGGATCGCTTTCTGCGTCGCCCCTGGCACACCGCGGGCGACGTCCCAGACAAACAGGAGTAGAACACAGTGGACGTCACCATCACTACGTCAGTGTACGTCGTCGTCGAGTACGTTTTGAAGAAACGTTCGCGGTCACTCTCTTCGGGGGAAAGTTTGACGTCAGCCACGACCTCCTCAGGCTCATGCTGCTCCTGCTGTTGTGAGCCTTCTGCAGCCGTCGCCGCCAGGCAGATCATTACCAACGTAGCGAACTGCATCTGGAATGTCATGGGAAGAACATGCTGTATATCGGTAAACAAATGATCCTATCTTCTGGTCCTTCTATCCAATTATAGGGAGAGGACAGGCCTCTCATATCCAATGATAGGCAAGAGCAGGGATGACTATCTGATGAACTAGCCTAGCCAGCATCTCTTGAACAATATGAAGGTTCTATCAAGTTGATAACTCAGCCCCTGTCCCTCGCGACAGATGAAGACGCATTAGGCTCGTGGGGTTTGTTCCTAAATAATCGGCGAAAGGAGATCAGTTGCATATCTATTTATCTTAATTAGAAATTATAACTTATTTGTGAAACACACAGGTTCGAGCCCTCGTCACGGCCCTTGTGGATTTGTTTACGCATAGTGTTGTTTGAACTAAGGAATGCTGTTGAAAACTACCAACATTTTGCTTCGATATTTGGTTGCTGGCAACGCTGAGGCCACTTGAGGCTTCCAATGTACCCGTAAACAATATTTGTCAATATTGCTGGAAATTATCTACTTTAAATTATCTGTTAGATTAAGGACTTGTCTGAAACGCTACGCGGGCCAGTGGCTTTACAAGAATTTTAAATCATCATTGCTATGTTCTCTCTTAACCCCCCAATGTACCTTCTTGTATATAAATAAATAACTTGTACTTCCATGTCATTGCCTAGAAAAAACTGTCGGGAACACAACTAATTGAAGATTTAAATTGAAAAATTTGAATTTTGAATTTTAAATGTGAATATTGAATTTTGAATTTGAATTTTGGATTTGAATTTTGGATTTGAATTTTGGATTTGAATTTGAATTTGAATTTTGAATTTGAATTTTGAATTTGAATTTGTTGTGATTTGTGACCTGAGTGCAGGGATCTTCTTAGTTCTGCCCTTCCCGCGCAGCTGTCGAAAAATAAACAAAGATATAGCCGATAACATCGTCCGGAATTGTTAATGAACTGATTTACACGAGACGAGAGAAGCGCTTGATAAGGTCTTACTTGTCCACCCGACGAAGAAACGGTCAATACTGTATCTTGGAAATCGCAAAAAGGATGATGTATCTGTGAGAATATCTTTGGGGGGCAGGAGGGCGGGATTGAACCAGTGCGTCTGGGCGGTGACCCAAGATGATTGAGGAGATTAAGCCACCCAAAAGGTGGCACGGGCATGAATAGCCCGTGAGTGGGCATGCAGAAGATGCATTCCCCACGCTCTAGGATCATCAATTTCCTAGTTGCGTTTGTTACCTAGACCCAAGATGCATTGGTTCTAATTTCATAATACTGTACGTTACTCGCTTGTTTCGTCTCGGTAATTGGCGAGGTGGCGTTCTCTCAGCCGCTTGTCGTAGCTCAAGAACTCTATCCACAGCCCCCATGATGAGTATGGGGGTCCACCACGGCCCCCATGACGACCATGGGGTCCACCACGGCCCCCATGACGACCATGGGGTCCACCACGGTCCCCATGATGACCATGGGGTCCACCACAGCGCCCTCTCCCTCACCTCACCAGCGTCCACTCCTCCACCCTCGACACTCACCATAAACATAGTGTCAATCACTGGTAAATCTTCACTCAGTGTCCCTGGTGGTGTTGGCCTTCGTGTACAGTGTGTACACCACTAAGAGTCGTCACCACACCACACCAGCCACCGTGCACAGTGTACTCCAGTACGAGTCAGCGACATACCACACAAACTTCAGTTTATATACCAAACTGGGACCCAATTTTGGTCCTGAGGTCTTCTACCTTCAAGGGGGCCTATTTTTAGCTCGGAGAAAACTCGAAATATTATTAGATTCTTTTTCCTTGTTATTTTTCCTTGTTCTTGTTTTTATTAGGGGGGGGAGGGTTTTGTATTCCATTTTCTCTCCTTTTTTTATTTCTCGTTATTGCTCTCTCACTCTCCTCTCTCTCTCTCTCTCTCTCTCTCTCTCTCTCTCTCTCTCTCTCTCTCTCTCTCTCTCTCTCTCTCTCTCTCTCTCTCTCTCTCCCCTTCTCATTTTTTACACGTGTGAGTAAAGGCATAGACGACCTCTGATTCTTATTTTATACAGTGTGGCAGATGGAGCTTTCCCTTCCAATAACTCAAGGTAGGACTTATGCTATTGGTTTCTCTGTCTGCACCTGAATTTACCTGGGGGCCACTAACATTCTAGTGGTCTCGACGAGGACAGGCAGCCGGTGGCTTGTTCAAGGTTCCCTCCCTATTTGCTATGAGGATTTTTCCAGATGGATTTTAAAGTTTAACAGATTTTTTGCATTTACAGCTTGGGCGAGTAGGCGGTTCCAACCCTGTGGGTGGAAAAGCATCTCCTGTTCTCAGTCCTACATTGTGGCTTCTTGAGCTCGAAACTGTTGTTCCTTGTTTGTGTTACATCTGATATTTTGAAGAAATTGTCTGGATCTGGATCCTCCAAGGTGAAGGGACGACGACGTTTCGGTCCGTCCTGGACCATTCATAATCGACTTGAGAATGGTCCAGGACGGATCGAAACGTTGTCGTCCCTTCAACTTCTAGTGTGTGGTCTGGTCAAACTACTTCAGCCACGTTATTGTGACTCATCGCCTGCATATGGATCCTCCAAATTGTTCAGTATTTTAAAGGTATGTCCTTCGGAAAAACCCAAATTTTTCAAGTTTTCAATGAGATCCGCCTTATAATGCCTGGTTTGCAGTGTTGTTATATGTATGTGTGTGTGTTTACCGGCAGTGTTGGTGGAAGGGAGTCCAAGACCGTGGTTTGAGGTCTGCTGGTCGTTTGGCTCTCGAGGTCGACGTTAGGCTTGGCGAGATTTCCCGTGTCCTCTTCGTCCTTGCCGCGTCGAAAATTCATCATCAATACTTCCTAACACTTGACACAGAAAGAAATTGGGTGCCGCAGCACGACTGATGTCTTGGTGAACTTGGAGGTTTATATTCTGCTTTTGCTGCGAAGACCTCCGTTGTTGCTGTCTTTTTTGACCTGGAAAAGGCGTACGACACCACCTGGAGATACCATGTTCTGTCCCAACTCCGTTCTTTTCGAATCCGTGGTAAGCTCCCTCTCTTCCTTCAAAGCTTTCTCTCTAGTCGTTCCTTTAGAGTGAGGCTTGGTGTCACTCTCTCTCCCTTCTTTTCGGCAATACGAAGGTGTACTCCAAGGTAGTGTTCTGAGCACTATTCTTTTCCTGGTTGCCGTCAAATGGTCTTCTTTCTTCCCTCCCCTCTGACATCTTCTCAGCGCTTTATGTCGACGATCTTACCCATTGCTGTCGCGGTGATGATTCGCCTCTCCTTCAACGGCGGCTTCAACTTGTGATGGTTGCCGTGTTGTCTTGGGCCACAAATCATGGCTTCAAGTTCTCTATTACTAAAACTTGTGCTATGACCTTTACTCGGAAGCATGTCGTTCTTTTGTCGCTTTGTCTTTGTCGCTTTATGGTCATCTTGTGTACAAAGATTTTGGGGTTAATCTTTGACACTCATTTGTCTTGGTCGCCCCAAATCTCTTGCCTCTTGAGTTGAATGCTCTAAGGCCTTTACTTAAGGTCTTGCCCCATACTTCTTGGGGAGCGGATAGGCGCACGCTCCTCTCTTTACATTCCTCTCACGTCCTGTCTAAACGCGATTATGGTTGCCCTGCTTACTCGTTTGCTTCTCCTTCTACTCTTCGCCGCCTTGATTCTCTGCACCATAATGGGTTGGGCCTTAGCTCTGGTGCCTTTCGTTCGACTCCTACCCTAAGCCTGTATGTTGAAACTGGCCCTGTTTCTACAGGTTTCTACTGTCTTCGCTACTTTGCACGGTCCTTACAACTCTCTCACTCTCGCTTATGTTGTGTTTTGACCCTTACTCCTGTGTTCCCTATTCCCCTTCACCACCTTCCCCCCCACCCTCTCTCTCTCTCTCTCTCTCTCTCTCTCTCTCTCTCTCTCTCTCTCTCTCTCTCTCTCTCTCTCTCTCTCTCTCTCTCTCTCTGTCACTCTCTCTCTCTCTCTCTGTCACTCTCTCTCTCTCTCTCTGTCACTCTCTCTCTCTCTCTGTCACTCTCTCTCTCTCTCTCTGTCACTCTCTCTCTCTCTCTGTCACTCTCTCTCTCTCTCTCTGTCACTCTCTCTCTCTCTCTCTCTCTCTCTCTCTCTCTCTCTCTCTCTCTCTCTCTCTCTCTCTCTCTCTCTCTCTCTCTCTCTGTACGGTTGTCTCGCTTACAATATTCTCTTTTGGTTCGTGTTACCAATATTTCTCCTCGTGTCGTTCCGTCCATGCACCACTCTAGACAATGCGACAGAAAAGGTTCTTAGGAATTTAAGAAAACTGTCAAGAGTGGGTGATCTCTTGACAGTTTTCTGTCAAGAATGGTGACTGAGAGAATGGTGATCTCTCGCTAGACTTGTACCCCCATAGCTGCAGTGCTCTGTCCTGAACATTGGTTAATCGCCAAATCCCAGGACATGAGTACCTCATGTCTGGTGGCTGTGGATCAGTGAGTGCATTGACAGTTCAGATATCATGTCTGTGGTGACATACGATGTCTGGTTATACTAGAGGAGGGCAGTTTATACACCAGGGGACTAGATTCACGAAGTAGTTACGAAAGCACTTACGAACCTGTACATCTTTTCACAATCATTGGCCTCTTGTTTTACAATTATTAAGCAGTTAATGAGCTCCGAAGCACCAGGAGGCTGTTTATAACAATAACAACAGTTGATTGGCAAGTTTCGAACTTGTAAACTGTTTAATAAATGTAACCGAAGCCGTCAAAGATTGAGGAAAGATGTACACGTTCGTAAGTAATTACGTAACTGCTTCCTGAATCTGACCCCAGGTCTGTATGATGATGTGAGGGTTTCGCCGCCACAATTGGTGATGTAGAGCACTAGCAGGCAGCCACAAGGGTCAAGGCCCTGACCTCCTGCATACAATTATGCCTGAGCATCATATTGAGCACCGAATAGTTCCTTGCATACGACATGATTGATTGATGAAGATTAAGCCACCCAAAAGGTGACACGGGCATGAATAGCCCGCAAGTGGTGGCTCTTTTGAGCCATTACCAGTATCAAGAGCTGATACTGGAGATCTGTGGAGGTGCGACTGCACCCTGCGTGACGGGAGATGTCTCCCGTGTCCATACGACAGTCAAGAACAGTTATATATAACATATACAGTCAAGAACAATGAACAGTTAGGTAGCAGTTATTTTTCGAGGTGTTGATATTAAGTATTATTATTATTATTTTTATTGACAAAATTAATTATAATTTTGCATAATCTGAGGATTTAAATTAAGTCTTATTAAAGTGAAGATAATGGTGGTATTCACTGTCACGCAGGACAGAGGGGCATACACAAGACAATAGGTCTAAACTAGGCTGAAGCACATATATATATATATCATGGTTACATTCAATGTTTTAATGTATAAATGTAAAGTTAGGTTGCATTACGACACTTTAGTATCACCGGCAATAGATACAGTGGATAGATTTGCCCAAGACACCCCTTAAAGTAGAAATAATTATCCCATCCCCCATGTGTATAATGTTTTCGTTAGGTTTAATAAATTGGATTTTAATTCATATGGTGTTTCAGGAAATTGTTTCTCCCTCGTATTTGTAAACTTCGCCGTGTGGGCCCCAGACAGCTTCCAAAATACGGACTCTGTCAATAAATCTGATGAACCGAAATCCCCGGAGCCAGATTCACGAAAGCAGTTACGCAAGCACTTACGAACCTGTACATCTTTTCTCAATCTTTGGCGGCTTTGTTTCCAATTATTAAACAGTTAATGAGCTCCGAAGCACCAGGAGGCTGTTTATAACAATAACAACAGTTGAATGGGAAGTTTTCATGCTTGTAAACTGTTTAATAAATGTAACCAAAGCCGACAAAGATTGAGGAAAGATGTACACGTTGGTAAGTATTTGCGTAAGTGCTTTCGTGAATCTGGCCCCTGATCTCCCACCATCGAGTCGGGATCAGACACGACCAATATCTGGCAAGATGATGACCCGATCACACACTAGAATGTGAAGGGACGACGACGTTTCGGTCCGGACCATTCTCATGTCGATTGTCGATGGTCCAGGACGGACCAAAACGTCGTCGTCCCTTCACCTTCTAGTGTGTGATCTGGTCAACATACTTTAGCCACGTTATTGTGACTCATCGCCTGCATCAGGCAAGATCTCCTCAAGATTTTGTCCTGTTGCTCTAAGCTGTTGTTGTTGTTTAAGATTCAGCTACTGGGAACTTAAAGTTCCAAGTAGCACGGGCTATGGTGAGCCCGTGATGGACTTACTTGGCACAGGAGCGAGGCTGAAACTTGTCTTGCTCTAAGCATTTTACCTTGTTCATTGCTATTGTGAGCAGCTGGCATTCCTGGCCAGTTCAGCTGGGCAGGAATTTAAGAATTTACATACATGAACGCTATGAATACCTAAACAGTTTTGACATATACGTACTGTGAGCATCCCAGCGTCCGGGATTCTCTGGGACGTAGGTTCGAACCCTCGTCACGGGCCTTGTGGATTTGTTCAAGTACTGTGAATTCATTAACAGTAAGGATAGATAATACAATGATCACATGAACTGTGATCTTAGATAGACATAATGACTTGCAAAGCAACATGATTGTATTATAAAATATCAAATTTTGTTTTTCGAAAATTTCGGGAGAATAAAAGGACTATTTTGCGGTGATACAATTTACTATGATACGGTCTCAGCGTCTCTCAGGTGTGTACAGGTGTAGAACAATCATAACAATAACACAAGGTAACAATATCAAGGATCATCGGGATTATAATGAGGGAGGACAGAGATGGAGAGGAATGGGGGAAGGAAACATACTGGCACGAGAGCAGAAATAGGGAGTATGGGGCAGAAATGGAGAGGGAAACATAGTAGGAGGGAGGAAATTGGAAGTACGGGCAGAAATGAAGAAAACACATTAGTAGGAGGGAATAAATGGGGAGAAATAGGGAAGACAAGAGAGTTAAGGGACAGTTGTTGACCAGACCACACACTAGAAGGTGAAGGGACGACGACAATCGACTTGAGAATGGTCCAGGACGGAGCGAAACGTCGTCGTCCCTTCACCTTCTAGTGTGTGGTCTGGTCCACATACTTCAGCCACGTTATTGTGACTCCTCGCCTGCATAAGGAACAGTTGTAAGACAGGGGGAGCGGGGGAGGCAGATCTCAGTGCTATCAAGCACCAGGACATCTTTGGACCGGCAGGACCAGACCCGCCGCTATACAGTAGTAGGAGATCCTGATGGTGGTGCTGGTGTTGGTGAAGAAGACGGTGACGGAGGTGGTGGTGGCGGTGGTCGTCCATATGCTGATGCCAAACAGCTTCTCGTTGGGTTCCTGGTCTGAAGCCTCCAGAGCAGCGACGCCGCCGTCTCCGCTCGTGTCCAACAACGACGGTCTGTGTGCCGGACGTAAATATATATATTAAGTCTCGTAAATCATGTTTGATTGATGAAGATTAAGCCACCCAAGAGGTGGCACGGGCATCAATAGCCCGTAAAAAAAGACACGTTTGGTTTGTTTTTCTCGTGATATATTCTCAATTGATGACCAGACCACACACTAGAAGGGGAAGAGACGACGACGTTTCGGTCCGTCCTGGACCATTCTCAAGTCGATTGTCGTCGTCCCTTCACCTTCTAGTGTATGGTCTGGTCAACATACTTTAGCCACGTTATTGTGACTCATCGCCTGCATATTCTCAATATTCATCTCAATCACCTCCCACTTACTCATCAAATTCCTGGATTAGGGTCTTTATATTCGTATCGTGTAAGGATCGTCGGCGCCGTCCAGCGCACTTAACGGTGCTGGTGCCTGAGAGACAGCTTAAGAAGACGGTGGAGGTGAAGGCAGAGACGACGGTGCGAGTCTGTGTATAGTATGACCCGAAGAATCGTTCCTTGTCCTCAGTGATGGCGCTGGCGTCCTCCTTCAACCCTCCCTCCTTGAGGGCTTCGTCCAGCGCCCCTGCCTCGCCGGCCACCAGCTCCGTGGCCGCCACTGCCAACACCACAAGCGCCGACCAAACCCGCATCTGTTGTGAAAGATTAATGCATTGTTTACTCAGTGTCCGTCCTGGCCAGGCCGGGTTAGGCGTGGTGGAGATCAAGATGGCGGCTGTACCGAGGGACGGTGTTGTCAGAGTCGCGGAACAAATGCTTCTGGATGTCAGAAGCTTCACGAAAAGAATGATACTGTATCAGGACTCTGTAGCGACGCTCACATCCGCCAGCCCGTGAGTGACTCTTTAACGTATAGAGTCACACAAGCAAACAAACTCTTGGGTACAAGAGAGGCTCTTTGCTCTCTCACGACGCTGACACCACAGTGTATTTCGCGGATTTAATGAGCAGTGTTTATCGCCTTCTGACAAGCGCATATACGCTATCAAATTGATTTATTTTCTTTAATGCGTCGTTCCATGCACTTTTCACTCGAGCAAAACATTTAACTCCACTGGAATGAGATCATTTGTCGCTGTAAACCAGGGGCCAGATTCACGAAGCAGTTACGCAAGTACTTACGAACGTGTACATCTTTCCTCAATCTTTGACGGCTTTGGTTACATTTATTAAACAGTTTACAACCATGAAAAATTCCCAATCAACTGTTGTTATTGCTATAAACAGCCTCCTGGTGCTTCGGAGCTCATTAACTGTTTAATAATTGTAAACAAAGCCGCCAAAGATTGAGAAAAGATGGTTCGTAAAAAAAGTTCGTAAGTGCTTCTTAAATCTATCCACAGAAGGTTGGCAACCCGTGGTCTTAAGGCCGCATGTGGGGGGGGGGGGGGAATATTTGTCCAACTTTTAATCTAATTAATTTATTAACTATGACCCTGACTTTGTTCCTCTGACAGAGGTCATGTTGTACGGGTATGTTTATATTACACACAGAGATCACACTAACGTGATGCATCAAATGAACAAATCCACAAGGGCCCTGACGAGGATTCGAACCTGCGTCCGGGAGCATCCCAGACGCTGCCTTAATCGACTGAGCTACGATTCGGTTTCAACTTTTTTTAACCCTGTCGTAGCCCAGTAGATTAAGGCAGTGTCTGGGATGCTCCCGGACGCAGGTTCGAATCCTCCTCACGGCCCTTGTGGATTTGTTCATATGTTTATATGTTTGTTGGCAAGACCACACACTAGAAAGTGAAGGGACGACGATGTTTCGGTCCGTCCTGGATCATTCTCAAGTCGATTGTGAATGACAATCGACTTGAGAATGGTCCAGGACGGACCGAAACGTTGTCGTCCCTTCACCTTCTAGTGTGTGGTCTGGTCAACATACTTTAGCCACGTTATTGTGACTCGTCGCCTGCATGTTGAGCGAAGCTGCAAGCGAAGTGCGTCTTGTACAATATTCCATAATCCATGGGTTATTTCTTTGCATGAGTCAGTGCTGAAGATCACTGGATATTATCCTAAGTGTCTTAAGACAGACATCATAGACTGACGAACCAGCTGTGGTCAACGATACATATTCGTAGACCTGAGGTTCCGAGTTCAATCCCCGGTGGAGGCCGAAACAAATGGGCAGAGTTTCTTTCACCATGATACTTCTGTTCACCTAGCAGTAAATAGGTACCTGGGAGTTAGACAGCTTCTACGGGCTGCTTCCTGGGGGTGTGTAACAAAAAGGAGGCCTGGTCGAGGACCGGGCCGCGGGGACGCTAAGCCCGGAAATCATCTCACGATAATCTCAAAAAGCTATTGCAAGTTCCTTCCTCATGTCACGAAGTGTTGCATGATTTACATTGCAAACATTGACCTGCAGTGGTAAAATACATCACAGTAGTTGCACCAGCTACGAACAAATGCACCGTACTGAGGCAGCGTCTTGGATCATCTTGGGCGTAAGTTCGAACCCTCAATACGGCCCTTGTGGATTTGTTCATTTAAAATGCACCATATTTGTATTAGTATGCGAACAAGTCAAACGTTAGTACAAGTAAGAAATACATACATAAAATACACAAGACTATCAAACATTGAGTAAAACGTAACTTAGATATGATTGGCGAAGCATTCAACAGAGATCATGCCATTCTTACTACCACAATGAGGTACTAGTCGTGTACCTGTGTGTGTGTGGGGGGGGAGGGTACTCACCTAGTTGTGTTTGCGGGGGTTGAGCTCTGGCTCTTTGGTCCCGCCTCTCAACCGTCAATCAACAGGTGTACAGGTTCTTGAGCCTACTGGGCTCTATCATATCTACACTTGAAACTGTGTATGGAGTCAGCCTCCACCACATCACTGCCTAATGCATTCCACCTGTTAACTACTCTGACCCTAAACAAAACGATTATAATGTGTCTATGACTCATTTGGGCACTCAATTTCCACCAGTGTCCCCCTAGTGCGTGTGCCCCTTGTGTATATTTACTAGTTGTGCTTGCTGGGGTTGAGCTCTGCTCTTTCGGACCGCCTCTAAACTGTCAATCAACTGTTAGTAACTACTAACCCCCCCCCCCCACACACACACACCCAGGAAACAGCCCGTGACAGCTGTCTAACTCCCAGGTGCCTATTTACTGCTAGGTAACAGGGGGCATCATGATGAAAGAAACTCTGCCCCATCTGTTTCCGCCGGCGCCGGGAATCGAACCCCGTACCACACGACTACGTATCCAGCGTGCTGTTCACTCAGCCACCAGCGCCCTTATGCGTGCGTGTGTGTGTGTGTACACCGTACCTTGCTACTGAAGACTGGACACTGATCCTCAACGTGTGTTGAACCTGCGTTATATACACCGCCGCTGTGGCCCAAGTCTGCTGAGCTTAACCCAAATTTCAGAATCCCAGAGAGGAAATCTTTGTCGCGCCCAACACGGACTCGAGGCGGGAAACCTTATACCAATAGATGATACTAGGGGAATTTTTATCTTCTGAATTGATATAAATATTAATGGTAAATAGCATAGTAGCGCTAAGCTGATATGTATTTTAAAGCAAAGGGAGATATTAAGGGTGTGAGCGAGTGACGTAGAGCGCCGTCATTGGCTGACGGGACAACCTGAAACTTGATTTTGGGTATTCTTTCCTCCTGCTCCTCCTCTCCACCTGGCAGTCTCGGCGCAGGGAGCGGGGGCTGCAGGAGTCTCCTGAAGACCTGATTTAGGTCCTGGTGCCCCTGAACCTGAATCCTAATTTTCACGTCCTAGAGACCTTTGTGGACCTTAGTCCATATGACGGACACTGGTCTCTATATCTTGTTACAACAGTCTAACTGAACACAACGACTCACGTTTTCGGATTCTAATGGTCTCTACTGTACTGTAGACCTACAGTTTCAGGTCCTGGTAGTTTGTGTGTAGAGGTTTGGTCTGTAATAGTTCCTGTAACATAAGTTACAGTTCAAATTATTTTCTTTGCTTGTAGACACGTAGTTGAAGGTCCCCTGTGATGCCCAGGTAGATGAAGACCTGAAGTTATTAGCTCGAGGGGGTTTCTGAACCTACGGACTTGCAATATCATAACCTGGTGGTCTCCTTATACTTGAAGACCTGTGGTCTGATACCTGAGGCTTTGTGTTTACAGACCATGAAGTCTCCTGATACCTGAGGCTTTGTGCTTACTTATCCTAAATTTCCTTATACCGGAGGTCTCCATATGCCGAGAGACTTCAGGAAACTTGAAAACATACAGACGTTTGCACAGGCTCGTCCCAGAATCACGAGGAATGGGGTATGAAGAATGACTGAAAGAACCAGACCTGCCGTCGCCAGAAAAGAGAACGACACATCGTATAAAACGAAATCAGATACTTTATTCTTAATGGTTGTTGAACATTTATAATTGGGAAAGATTGCATAAAATATACAGTATATTACGTGTCATAATACTAACGGGGGGATTGACAAAGTGAAAAAATTACAGCTGAAGCCTAATTCCTGTTATTGTTAAATTCTTAGAAATAGCGATAACTTCTACCCTGACCAATCAGAAAGTATAATTTAGCTCTGGGGTAGTCTAGAAGTAATTTATCAGAGTGTGAGAAATATATATATATATATATATATATATATATATATATATATATATATATATATATATAATTGTGATGGTATGTACCACCTCTGGTGCAAATGTGGGGACCCATAGCCTCGGAGAAGAAAATAAGGAGTATTCAGAGAAGACCTTGTGGATTCTCACTGAACACTTTAATATTTTCTTCTATCACCCCCATTCTTTCGTATATACACATATATTTGCTTTATTTAAACTGTGTTACAAAAAAGGAGTTATATATAGGGTACAAAGATGATTATCATAAGTTGTAGAGTTCCTCCAGCTCCTCAGATGGCGGGCAGGATCCCTGAATGTAGTGTGCATTTCCTCTGTATATATATTTTCCTAAATTTTCTTCCAATGAAATGATAAAGCTTTCCATAACATGATATATGGTGTAATTTTATTTAATTTAACACTAACGTAGAAATATGACCCAACCTAAGCTATCTTAACCTAACTTAACTTAACCTAAACTAACACAACTAAGTCAGTAATTCATGTTCTTAATATAATAATATTATTTCAAATAAACCTATTGGATTTTTTTTAAACGAAAACTACTCTGCTTATTAGGCAAATCGGGCTGTGCATACGTGGCCGAGTAGTGTATTCTGGCTATTAGGTACGACATTATACGTAATGAATATCGTCTGCTTAGACAACACTACATATTTCTTATGTACTGCAGCCTTCACCTTTATTTTTATTACGATACTGTTTGGTATTATGTCTCTGTTCTTGTAACCATGTTGTTAGCCACTTGTGTATTTAATGTATTATTAAGGATGATTGCTCTTGGGTCAGTGCCTCACGGGTCGTGTGGGCTAGGACTTTAGCGGGGAGTTAAACAAACTCCCCCCCCCCCACCCCACCCCCGAATTGACAAGGGAAGTAAGGGAGACAAAATAAATTAAGAGGGGGAACACGGTACCACCAGGAGAGGCCAGGTACCTGGCTAGCGGTTGAGAGGAAGCCAGGTACCACCAGAAGAGGCCAGGTACTTGGGTGAGACAGT